TCAACAGTTTGTGTAAATGGTAAGCAAAACTCCAGAAAGGGAAATTCCGTTTGCGAAACGAGCTGAGTAACCACGCTTACGCATCAAAACTGGCGTAGGGTCTGGAACTGGTAGATAAAAAAGCAAATGGTACACACATTTCCGTTAGGAAATTTCGGTTGGGAATTTTGAACTACCTTTCAAGACGTTCCGTTTATTTCGGAAATTTTCCGGTTGGTCGAGCCAAAGTTGTCCATTGTCTTACCATTTACATTCTGACCGAAATTTCCGGAATTTTTGGGTAAATGGTAAACAACCAGACTCCGTGAAGCGCATCTGTGACATCTGTATGGAAGAATAGTTACAATATCGGCACTCAGTATCACAATTAGCTATCAGTGCAGCAGTTTTAATCAAGGTTAATCAAGTAAGTGTAAATATTTGTGGACATTTTTCAACGGTTCTGCATCGCAAAAATTGAAATACCGACAGCGACATTTGCCTTTCTAGCGAAAAAACGACAGCGACATTTTCCCCAACGAAACAGACGACGGCCTGCATCGAAAACAAGCGACAAAGCGACACCAGAACCCCCCTTGGAAGGCCTCATTTCTCCCCCACGGACGTCTGCTAAACACAGCCGACATTTACGTTCACCAATCACAGGCCGTCTACCGATTTTTGTAAAACGTAACCCGAGCTCCTTCTTAAGATTCGCACAATCAGTGAGGCTTTTGATCGAGTGTGCGAGAAATTTGTAATTAATACAGAGTTAAATTTAATTTGATATATAACTTGCCTTTGTAGCGAAAATACTCGCGCGACTAGAATTTTTTTTGTGTGGGCACCTCGTTTTCCTTTACCGAGACCTTAAGGACGGAAATTTAGTTTAGTTAATTTAACTACAATCAAGAATGTCGTGTTAAGGTGGTTCGTACCAGTTTTTACCTGTTTTGACGGTTTAACTTTGAAAGGAAAGAAAAAAAAACCAAGCCAAAGCCATAGCAACACAGTTTTGTAGAACAATTCTCGCAAGGACCGCTTGGACAAACAGCAGCGAGTTAAATTTGCAGGATCTTGTCGTAGATCAGGATCAGCAGCATAAAATAACACTTAAAATTGAAGGCAAGGCTGATCGGAAAGCTAAGGGTTATAAATTTATTTGCCCAGTATTTCACTAGACGAACCTGGTCTTCATCACGGGCTAGAAAAGCTAAGTGAGAATGGAATAAACGGTTACAGTATTTAAACTAATACAAAAATAAAAAAAATTGAATGTGATTGGTGGAGGAATACAAAGACAAAAACTTGTATAAAGTGGTTATATTAAAACATAAGTCAATAGATTAAATTTAATCTCGTCTGTTCATCCCATAGGGTTCAAGTGTTTTGCCTTTAGGTATTTAAAATCCTTCGCATGCTTTACGGATACTGTCCCTGTCCGAATTAATTAGTTCTAACAGAATGAGTTCTATGTCCTTGTTGGAATGATCTGGAAGGGAGAAGTGGTCTGAAACGGTGGTAGGATGATTAAAGTGATGTTGATTTCAATGGCTTTTTCTATGGAGCGTCGGTGCTCTCCAAATCTGTCACTGAGCTAGCGTTTAGTTTCACCGATATATTGCATGTTACATTTATTGCATTAGGAGATGTGGTGTAGGATGCGTCGTTCTTCGTTGGTGGAGAAGAAGATGTAAGACGTGGTTCTTTCTGTAATAAAAGGACAAGTCTTGTACCTACTTTGTAGAGTTGATTATACAAGGAGTGCTTGATTTGAATAATTGTTATTTCGACATAAGCGGTTACCATGGTAACGCATTTGAAGGGTTAACTAGACTCACCTTTCAGCATCCAACAAACCAGTGACCTACTTTTCTTTTTCTTTTTTTTTGTTTTTTTTCAGACGATAGCGTTTGGCATTAGAAAAGGAAAATACGAGGCGATTTCGGTGGATTCTTTTTGAAAGTGAAAAACAGGACATAATTGCGCCTACTGGAAATTTTCTCCCTTTGATTTTTTAATCTTTTCAGTCGGACGTTTCCTCTTAACTCTGACAAAATATTAATTAACGCAATAAAAACAGGGAGTCATCGGACTTGTTTTCTTGTAAAATGCTTCAAGATTTCAAAAAATCCTACGCGCGTCTTTGTGCTTTTAAAATCTAAACTCTGTAAGATCACGGTTTACTCATGCGCTGTCTTGACTGCCACTGAATGTTAGTATACACTTGCTTACAGACCTTGCAGGGCCGGGAGAGAAGGAGAGGAATACACGACGAGTAAGGATGTCAGTATGGGAGACTACAGGCAAGCCGGCGGGCGCTATTTTCATCAAGAACAATACAGCATTAGCCTAGAAAGGAAAAAAAGAAAGCAACATCAATTCGTCATGATTTCGAGTTTAACTCGTGTTTTTGAATAGCCCGAAAACACGATAAATTATTTCTTCTGCAATAAAAAACTGATGCATTATTGGATTCTATTTCACCACATCATTTAACCTAAATTAAGGAAGTATACGGACGGTAATTTTTTAAACATGGGAGCTTTAATGCTTTTTAAATGTCGTCATTAAGACGGGAGAAAATCATATGTAAAGGCTTTCATGCTCGTCTCTTTACAAAGAAAGGTTTTTCTAAGTACATACAGATAAAAGCACTGCTGTATTTCCCATTGTCTTGGAAAATGAAGGGCCAGTTTATCTTTGCTTTTGCAGCTCTTTTGGTGATAGCATCGTTAATTACAGAAGGCGATTGTTTTGCTCCCATCGGTCGAGCGCCGATCGGGAGAAAGGTAATATACTGAAACGAAAACATTCTCGTTCAACTAGGACAATTCTTTCCAACCGATTTACTAAAAAAACCAACGCACGGAAAAAGCATATAGGATAAGCCATTTCCGATTTCCAAAAACTCTCACTTTCAAAACGAGGCTAAGTGTAAAACCTTTCCTGGGACATAATTGCGCCTAGTGGAAATGTTTTCCCGTTGAATTTTTACTCTTTTCTCGGACGTTTCCTCTTAACTCTGACAAAATATTAATTCACGCAATAAAAACAGTGGGTCATCGGACTTGTTTTCTTGTAAAATACTTCAAGATTTCAAAAAGTGCCACCCGCGTTTTTGTGCTTGTAAAATCTGAACTCTATAAGATCACGGTTTACTCATGTGCTGTCTTGACTGCCACTGAATGTCAGTATACTCTTGCTTACAGAGCTTGCAGGGGAGGAAAGGAGAAGAACACACAAGGAGTAAGGACGTCAGTATCGGAGACTACAGGCTAGCCGGCCGGCCCTGTTTTCATCAGCACTAGTTTATTAACCAGAAACAAGGTAATATTCTTATGAACGAAACACCTTTCTTAAAAGTAGTCATAAACTGAGATGGGGGAACTTAAAAAGACCAATGACCATTCGTTGAAGGATGGACCTGCTGGCATGGATATATCTTAAATATGCAAAGTTTCAATGTGTTCTCTGATACATTACTATTCGGGCGAGAGAGGAAGTTCACGGAGAAGAGATTGAGTAGCATTTCTTGGTTTTTTTGCAGAGGGACACAACAAGCTCGAGAATTGATTAAAAATCGTGAGTTATACATCTTTCTATCACGCGATCGCCTGTGTCACTGTACCAAAACTTATCATATCTCGGTGAGCATTCGGAAGTCAGCCGAGCGCGGTCATTGCATACGTGCTGAAGAAGAATACTGTATCATGACAGACTAGACACAATAGAAAACTCCCAAAGCACAAACTCTGCCAAAACGCTAAAAATCTTCCATGTTTACTCAAGTTTGGACTTATAGGAGGTAATATCACAGTTTTTCAATGACCATGAAATTCAGAATCCGGGTAGTTAGTAAATCAATTGTGGCCCTGAAAAAATTTGAAGGAAAAAAACTACGAGTTTTTAAGAAAATGCTTTTTTCGTGAGAAGGACTCCTAAACGCCGACAAACGTCAACAAATAGCTAAAACTATAATTTCTATATGTTTGCATTTCTCGAAATCGCGCACATTTACAAGACCGTAAAGCTTTTTGCTGACTTCCAAGGACCCATCTGTTATAAAGATCCCCAAAATAAAGGGATAAATCTCATAGTTTATTAGATATAATCGTGTAAAGTTTCCTTATCATTTTCACCCAAATTATGACCTAAATTTGGAAACCGCTGAATTTCTCGCATTGGGTCTTTGCAATTTTGGCGAAACTCTGGTCAACGCAAGGCACTAATGCGAACTATATGCAGCCGAGAGATTTTCAAGAAAAAATGCCGGCAACAGCAGAATTTCGTCTCAGACCCCAAAGAGGCGTGGCACTATAACCACGTGACATTTACTCCGATCGCCAAAAATTTTTGCTATATTGTAGCTTGATCAAAATTTTATCCATGCTATATGTTAGACTTATGATCAAATTAAGGTGGGGATACCAGAGAACTTCAAAGTAGGATGGTACCCTTAGCCCCGCTTTGAAACCGCCTTGAGCAACGTAACTCGGAAATATAGCCTATTCCCGTGACACAGACAAAAAGCAAGGGGCACACATACACCAACCCTCGGCCTGGCCATTACCTCAAAGATGCACGACGCCATATAACCCCGGGCAGTGGCAGCCATGGATAGCTGTTTCCATGCCTCTTATAGACACAGGTATCGATTTGATATTTTACCTAATTTCGTCAATTTTTTTCTTTTTTACCTCTAACAACTCAATCAGAGGACAATGCAGATTTGCCGTGCAGCAAGAAGCCTTGGCTGCAGAAATATAGAACAAGAAGTGGCTGATGACCCCATGAAAGAAGGGAGGGCTCGACGTGAAGTAAAAGAACGCTGATGACAGCCATCCAATGATCGGACTAACCGCGGATTAAAACATAAAATATAAATGTCAACTGTAACATTCGAACAAGAAACTGTAAATCGTAGAAAGTGCGATAATTAATGAATAAAAGCGATTAGTTCTTAGTTGGCAGATTTTAAAAAGCCCTACCAGTAACAATTGCGGTTGTAAGCTCTGCCCATTCTACTACCGCGTTCCTCGCTTCACAGGGCAATCGACAGGCAAACGAAACAACAAAGTCCGCTAATAAAAAATCCCTCCTCCCCACTTACCTGCCCTTAACCACCACCCAAAAAAAAGTCAAGTANAGAAGCCTTGGCTGCAGAAATATAGAACAAGAAGTGGCTGATGACCCCATGAAAGAAGGGAGGGCTCGACGTGAAGTAAAAGAACGCTGATGACAGCCATCCAATGATCGGACTAACCGCGGATTAAAACAAAATATAAATGTCAACTGTAACATTCGAACAAGAAACTGTAAATCGTAGAAAGTGCGATAATTAATGAATAAAAGCGATTAGTTCTTAGTTGGCAGATTTTAAAAAGTCCTACCAGTAACAATTGCGGTTGTAAGCTCTGCCCATTCTACTACCGCGTTCCTCGCTTCACAGGGCAATCGACAGGCAAACGAAACAACAAAGTCCGCTAATAAAAAATCCCTCCTCCCCACTTACCTGCCCTTAACCACCACCCAAAAAAAAGTCAAGTATATTCCTTCCACTCAGGTTTTTTTTTTCCTGGATCACAGTCGTTTTGAAAATGAGCTCTTAAATTCGTATCGTAGCTTTTGTGTTAGTTAAAATCAAAATATAATATTGCATGTATGGCATTTTACGTTTTGCAGTGTTAGCAAAATCCTTTTGTCCTTGGCATAGAAATTTTTCATTATTACAGCCTCCAAATCCTTCTATTTTAACCAAGACCAAGAGTACATTCTCTCGCTGAAACAAATGTTCTAATCGATAATAATTTTGTTCTTCGCTAGTTTCCCAATAATACTTTACATTGCTTTGAAAGTTTCGCCAAAAATTGCCATATGCCTCTGGTTACAAGGAAGATGTTTGTAAATAAAATTTATTTTAAAAAGAAAAAAGGCATAAATGTAAAAAAGTAGAAGATCAGTAGGTGACCACTGGAAACTAAGGAGACTGGTTACGAATAGCCTGTTCATGATCATCAAGGGCCTGAAATAGTTCAAGGAGACAAAAACTAAAACTCCGGTTGGGGGATTCTCTGATAATGGCTCTATATACGGGAAGGCTCCGCCCGAAAGAGGTACCTTTTTTCACTCTTCATTCAAGTATATGAAAGAGTAAAGAAATCTCTTATTCCGGTCTGTAAAAAGACTCAAAAGGCCTGTGAGATGCTTTTATGTCTTTTATGGCTGTGAAAAAGTATAAGAAAAAAAAAGAAACAAAAAACTTTCTGGTCTGTGATTTATTCAGATTTTTAAGACAGTGCATTTAATGAAGTTAAAAGAAGACGTAAATTTCTTTAATAGATACGTGNAGGCTCCGCCCGAAAGAGGTACCTTTTTTCACTCTTCATTCAAGTATATGAAAGAGTAAAGAAATCTCTTATTCCGGTCTGTAAAAAGACTCAAAAGGCCTGTGAGATGCTTTTATGTCTTTTATGGCTGTGAAAAAGTATAAGAAAAAAAAAGAAACAAAAAACTTTCTGGTCTGTGATTTATTCAGATTTTTAAGACAGTGCATTTAATGAAGTTAAAAGAAGACGTAAATTTCTTTAATAGATACGTGAAACGGGGTACCATTTGTCTATAGAAGGTATATGAAAAAGGTACCTTTTTTGTCAAAAACTGCATATAAAAGGATAAGGGGTCGGACCTCGGGTCGGAGCCTTCTCGTGTTAACCTTGTTGAGTTACCCCTAGGGTTTCAAAGAGTTCCGTACAGTATCTTTCCATCAAGGTTCTCAGTTAAGCAGTCGCATCATGTAATCAACTATCTAATAACAGTGCAGAATTGCCCTCTCCACTGGTCACGAGTCCATCTTTGGGTTCTGAGAAAGTCATATGCGTAACAACTGCGAGAATCTTTGTCAACTTAGACTGCTTTTTGTACAGGAAGGGCGTGATAATTGATATTATTATTCGATGCAAATGTTTCTTCCTTTTCATTGGCCAAGAGCCCACCACGTGACCTGCGAATAAATGACTACACAAATAATGTGTCGGCTTATGTGCAATGTCGTCCAACTGCACCTTCCTTGAAGTTAACACTAGGGAACATCTTTTTTCGGTTAACTCTTTTTACCCTATTTACGGCTAACGGCCGTTTTACGCCTATCGGTTAACCCCATTGAGAATCTCCTCATGCAAGCGTCGGACTTTTCCCTGCCTGTGAGTTATCTAGAAATTTCCTAATGACAGTTCTGTGTAGGCCATCATAGTTAACTAATTTATGTTCGGTTAATTTTAGGAATAGAAAATGAAGGCAATAGTTTTAGTTAATGACGAGCTTAAAACCCTTAAATACATCGTAAACTAAGAGGGAAGATTTTTTCGCTTAAAATTCAAATAAACAAAGGTTAAAATTAACTGATTAAAAACAGATTAAAATACACAGAATTTTATAGTCGAAAAACAGTTTGTCTAATGTTCATGGTGGAGTCATTTTAGCTTATATACGTTGTTTGGTAACTATCCTGAAACTCCACAAAATCCTACGAAGTTGTTACGATTCAGGGATCCCGACGGGAAGTTAGGCATTTTGATCGACTCGCCGACGGCATTTAGGAAGGAAACTGAGTTCAGTTTATTTAACTACAATCAAGAATGCCTTGTTAAGGTAAATCGTACCTGTTTTCACCTATTTTGACGGCTTTGACATTGAAAAGAAAGAACAGATAAGTATAAGCCAAAGCCATAGCAGCACCTTTGTAGAGCTAGATTACAAAATGAGTGCTTAAAGGGGCTGTTCAAGTTCAAGTTCATTTTGTTTAATTTTGCCAATTACTCGCCTTCATTCGCTATGGAACTTAAAGTACGCAAAGAAATTACATGTAAATGACAAAATCAGAGACTCGAGACAGGCAAATATGTCTCCTGAGCATTATTTTTGAAGTTGCAAGCAGCATGGATCAACTTTGAAAAACTGTTAAGCTGAAAAGTTTTCAAAAATCCTAATTTCAATCCGTTTCAATCTTCTTCAGTTTTGCCTATCCGTGACATCTGTTCAGTTCCTGTTATGTTATTTTAACCTTGCTTTAAAGTTTTAAGCGGTTATTTTTATGTTTCTCTTAATTTGACGGGCATTTTGTAATTTCCTAATTTGGCTGAATTTCGTGACACAGCTCCTTTAATTATTATTTCGTCATTGGTGGTTACTACTCCCTTACTAATACTATGGCAAGGTATTTGAAAGAATATTAAGATCCACCTTACAGCATCCAGCAATGTTAGCTGACCCCACTTTTTTTTAGACGAATAGCTTTTGGTATTAGAAAAGGAAAATACCCGGTGATTTAAAAAGTTCTACAAAGCGGACTTTTGTAATAAAGCAAACATAGGACATTTCAGCGAAATGGAAATATTCCACAGGACAACTGGCTAATTATTCTCTGATCATTAAAGTAAAATGTCTTTTTCTCTTTTACTAAAAAGCAGTGATTGCAAGGAACACGACAATATTTATATTTCAGTTGGGTATAAGTTACTGTCTGTAACTCTTGTGGCCGGCTGTACATTACTGATCTTCAGAGATCCAGGGTAAAAGTAAATTGATGCTGTATTCTTTTATTTTCCCGACTGAATTCAGCTGGTGCACATGCCTTTCTGAAAAGAAATGACTCGACCTTGGAGTTTAAAATGAAAGCATGTATGATAAATCGCTTTCTCTGCAATGACGCTAACACATCTTTGAGGCTATTTCACTCATCATTAAACCTTAATTGAAATTGTTTTTTTTATGGATGGTAATTTTTAAAACGAGGCTGCCTTAATGCTTTTTCGTGCAGTCATGATGACGGTAGAAAATCCTATATAAGGACGAATGCTCTTCGCTCTACGTCCTTTACCAAGAAAGGTTTGTTTAACGACAGGGTGTTTTTCTTGCCTTGGAAAATGAAGAGCCAGATTCTCGTTGTTTTTGCTCTGTTGATGATCGCATCGTTGGTTACAGAAGGCGATTGTTTTCAACCTGGAAAGGTACTGTAATATTCGCACTCTCTGAAATTTTTTCCTTGAAATCAGCTCACCTATAGGGCGGTTTACACGAACAATTTTATCGCGTAATTTCTCGCGTTTATACAAGAGCGACGATTTTTGCTGTGGTCTTGTAGTGAATTGTCTGCGATTTTATAAATAGTAGACTGCTAGCAAGCTCTCCCGGGGCTCCCAGAGTAGCGATTTAGGAGTACAATACCGTATATCCTGGCTAACTCTTTGGCTTCAGAGATTGATTTTTTCGTGATACTCATGGTAGGTTATTTAATTCCACCCTTTCATCGTTGCAAATTGCTCAAAATAGCCGGTTGAAAAGAACGGTTAATTAAAACCTGAAAAAAATTCCACATGAGATTATTCACCATGAAACAGAGAGCACAAGTGTTTAGGAATAGCACCTGACAAACGAGCCTCCTGATAGACATACTTTTTAATTTGAAATTTTAATTTAATTTGTCTGCGTTTTTTTTTTCTTTTTTCCTGACTAATAATATCAGGAGATAAAGAGGGATTCTCGTGCTGCAGAAAGTTTTGGCTACGGGAATGTAGAGCAACACGTAGCTGATGACCCTATGGAAGAAAAGAGGGTGGCATGAAGAACAACAACGGCTGGCAACCATCCACTGATCAGAATGACTATAAATCATAACATCAACATGACAACTTAAAACGTAAAGTCTTATACTTAACAGGAAATAGTGAAATAAGAATAAATCAATCAGAGGCAAACCTTTTATGAGCTGCTACATGCATAATAAAGCTTACTCGGCAGATTTAAAAGTCATAACATTCATTGTAAGCACTCTCTGTTTCGCTCTCTTTGAGATCCATCTGCAGCGCAAGCAACCGAAAAAAGAAGAAAATAATTCTCCTTGACCACACTCCCTTCCGCTCTTCCTCTCCCGACCCCCCCCCCCCCCCCCCCCCCCCCCCCCCCCCCCCCCCC